TCTCTCTGCTAAGATGCTTAGCCTTCTGAGACTAGAAGCTCAAAAGAAGAAAAAAAGAAAGAGAGAGAGAGAAAGACAGAGAGAGAGAGAAGGAAGGAAGGAAGGAAAGAAAAGAAAAGAAAAGAAAAGAAAAAAGAAAAGAAAAGAAAAGAAAAAGAAAAGAAAAGAAAAGAAAACTAACTAACAGAGGCAGGAAGCAGGACGTCCTTTCTCTTGCCTTCTAGTCTCCTTCTAGAACCGTCCTGGAGGAACCATCAGAGAACCACAGGGTGGCAGAAGTGTAGTTTGCAGAGTCCTGGCCCCTTGCAACAACAAGCAAAGCATGGGAAGACATTTGAAACAGAAACAGTGGTGGGCAAACATGCAGTCATATAACCATTTCTTATATCCTGGAAGAAATACTTTCTTATATCCTGGAGGAAACATCTCAAACTGTGGGGAGTGGATGAAGCCCCGAGGGAATGTAATTGTCATGTGAATGGCAAGGGCTTCCTGTGGTGTGTGGATGTACAGATGGCAGGCTCCTCTCCCACATGACTGCAGGCTGAGACTGCCCCCCACAGAGACCACTACGCAGATTAGCTCACCTGCCCCCTTGTTGGTGCTGCATAAGTGTGCTAAGTTTCCAACGGCTGCTGCTGCGTCTCCCCCAGAGCACGCCACCCCCCTCATGCCCCCTCTTGTGTATTTGTGTTTGTTGTCAATGCTAAAGCCACGACGGTTTCAAAGGCTGGTAGAATTGCAATCTATTGCTGGCGGTGTTTTCTTGTATGCCAAATCAGCCCACATACACAGCAGCTTAAAATGAACGTTATTTCTGTTTCCCGAGTCTAGGAGTACAATGGCAGTTTTAGTGGATGTTTCTTACCCAAGTCTCTTGAGCTGCTGACCACTGTGTCGGGAGCGCCCTATACCCGCTGGCTCCATTGAGGAATAGAGGTAGGCTTTCAAGCTCACCATGTCGCTCTGTCTGTGGGAGGCTTGAATTTGTGGCTTCCTGGCTTCTTCCTAAGGCTGCTCCTGACATGGCAGGAGAGAGGAGGGGAACGACCGAGTAGGAAGTGGCCAGGCATGGCTTCTGTTTTATTCTACTGCTTATGCTAAGTCTGATCAAGGTGAAGGGAGCAACCAAATGAGTGTCTGAGCACTAGAAGTTGAGGGGCCCCTTGGCCAACTCAGTGTTATGGTGTGAGTGGGAAATGTCCTCCCACACATTCAGGAGTTCGACTACTTGGTCCCCAGCTGGTGGCACTGTCCCAGAATGCTGTGGAACCTTTGTGAGGCTAGGCCTTACTGGAGGGCAGGTCTTAGGGGTGACAGCCTGGTTCCACTTCCATCTCAATTTCTTTGTTTCCTGATCTGCTGAGATGGGAACTGCGGCAGCCACACACTCTCACTACTCTGCACAAAACCATGCCTTCCCTGTCTTATGGACTGTACCTTCTCAGACTCTGAGTCCCAATAAACCCTTCCTTTCTCAGATCCTGGTTTACAGGTGTTTGGTTACACCTAAATACAGTTCTGTCACCTCCACTGAGGTAGTGGCCCAAATGGACAATGACTTATGCTTTCCAAATTACTGGTCTCCTTTCTGATCAATCATGGGGAAATTTGAGAGGTCACCTCCTGCTCCTCTCTGGCTCCCCATGGCTCATTCTCTGCTAGATTAACTGAGATTAGCTGACTGCACTGACTGCTTCAGTTGGATTTGTAGCCACTGTTGAAGAATAACACCAGTTTCACTAGTAGGTCTTGAGATAGTCCATTTTCCATTTCAAAATTGCCAGCCACCTGAAGAGACAGCACAGCTGGAAGTCTCAAGGGACACCCTTTGTCCGAGATGTCTTCTGTTTGGGGGTGACTTGCTAGGCTGGCAGGAACTACCAGTTTGTTGAGATGGAAAAGAAAGTGAGAGAAACCCTGTCTCAAAAACAAACAAACAAAAAAAAAAAGTATATGGAAAGGAAAGTGATTGGCAAAGTCTTTGATCATCGTTGATCATGTCACCACTACTCTTTATCTGGAGGCAGCAGTGGCTTCAATCAACTGACCTAGGCAACTAGGCTACTGCTGCTTTTTTTTTTTTTTTTTTTTTTTTTAAGAAGCAGGGTTTCACTATGTAGCCCAGGCTGACTTTAAACTCCCTATCAACTTGCTCTGCCCCTCTCCTGAGAAATGGGATTAAATATCTTTTTTTAATTAATATTTTTTAAATTTATTTTACATACCAATCACAGATCCCCCTCTTCCCCTCTTCCCGCCCCTCCAGTCTCCCCCTCACCCCACCAACCTACCCCCTATTCCCTCCTACAAGAAGGTAAGGCCTCCCATGGGGAGTCAGCAGAGCCTGGTACATAGAGGTAGGTCCAAGCCTCTCCCCACTGTCTCAAGGCTGTGCAAGGTGTCCAACCATAGGTAGTGGGCCCCAAAAAGCCAGCTCATGTACTAAGAATGGATTCTGATCCTACTGCCAGGGGGCCCCTTAAGCAGATCAAGCTGCACAACTATCTTGGCTATGCAGAGGGCCTAGTCCAGTCCCATGCAGGCTCCACAGCTGTTGGTCTAAATTTCATGAGTTCCCACTAGTTTGGTTTGGTTGTCTCTGTAGGTTTCCCCATCATGATCTTGACACCCTTTGCTCACAGAATCCCTCTTCTCTCTCTTCAACTGGACTCCTAAAGCTCAGCTTGGTGCTTGGCTGTGGATCTCTGCATCTGCTTCCACCAGTTACTGGATGAAGGCTCTATGATGACAGTTAGGATATTAACTGATCTGATTACTGGAGTAAGCCAGTTCAAGCACCCTCTCCACTATTGCTAGTAGTCTAAGCTGGAGTCATCTTTGTGGATTCCTAGGAACTTCCCTAGCACCTAGTTTCTCTCTATTCTCATGGTGTCTCCCTCTGTCATGGTATCTCTCTCATTGCTTTCCCACTCCATCCCTGCTCCAGCTCAACCATCAAGTTCCCTTATGTTCTCATCCCCTATCCCCTACCCTCCATTGCCCACCTCTCATCCTTAGTTTACTCATGGAAATCTCATCTATTTCCCCTTCCCAGGGTGATCCATGTGTCCCTCTTTGGGTCCTCCCTGCCAGCTAGTCTCCCTGGAGCTGTGGGTTGCAGTCTGGTTATCCTTTGCTTTACAACTAGTATAAACTTATGAGTGAGTACATACTATATTTGTCTTTCTGAGTCTGGGTTACCTCACTCAGGATATTTTCTAGTTCTATCCATTTGCCTGCAAATTTCATAATGTCATTCTTTTTCATTGCTGAGTAGTATTCCATTGTGTATATGTGCCACATTTTCTTTATCCATTCATCGGTTGAGGGGCATCTAGATTGTTTCCAGGATCTGGCTGTTACAAATAATGCTGCTATGAACATAGTAGAGCATGTGTCCTTGTTGTGTGATTGAGCATTCCTTGGGTATATGCTCAAGAGTGGTATAGCTGGATCTTGAGGAGGATTAATTCCCAGTTTTCTGAGAAACTGCCATACTGATTTTCCAAGTGGCTATACAAGTTTGCACTCCCATCAACAGTGGAGGAGTGTTCCCCTTGCTCCACATCCTCTCCAACACAAGCTGTTATCAGTGTGATTAAATCTCTTTTTAAAAATCCATTATTTAGGGCCTTGTGGCCCATGCCTTTAATCTCAGCTCTCAGGAGGCAGAGGTGGGTGGATCTCTGCTGTGAGATGTTCTGTATGTCCTGTGGGAGCCCGTTCTTGGGTTCCTCGTGGCTTTACTCAGCAGGTCCGCATGGAGGATGATTAGGACCATGGGCCTGAGTGCAGGTGTCTGAGATGGTCTGCACTTGGCTGTGCTGGGGGATGG